AAAAAAAAAAAAAAAAAAAAAAAAAAAAAAAGATTCCGACGAACTGATAACCTCCTCCTTTTTTGGAAGTCGGTTAATAAATAATCCTTATACACACTTTCTTTCGAATTTCATTATTACAGCATAATTTATTTGTTGTTTTAATTGCCTAAACTTAAAATTTAATACATATTTGCTTTTAATTTTACTTATGTATGTTTCTTTACTTTAGGTTGCAAATGTCCCACTCAGCCAAAAAGCGGTAGTTGTGGTTGCGGCTCAGCTTGTAGGTGCTGTCCTTGTGGAAGTGGTGAGTTTTAAGTCTAAAACTTTAATTTGAGTTATCAGCTAAATTTGTTGCAATTTAAAATTAAAAAAGGAAAATATTTAAAAATATCCTTTTCTTTAATGATTAAATGCTTTTGCTTTTCTTATGTTGGTTTCAGATTGCAAATGTGGTTCACAGACGCAAAGTGGCAGCTGCGGTTGTGGTAGTGGTTGTAAATGTGGCCAATAATTATTGGTTTATAATCAATTTTTCGGCTGAGTTGCGACATTAGCTTTGAACGTCTTTCAATAATTTGCATTATAATTCTTTCAATAAACAAATGAACGGAAATATTATGCAAACGAAATAAAACTTTTTTCTTTGTGTTAAGTTATATATATATAAGTTTTATGGAGGAATGACTTTGACAGTGTGTGCATAGGAGAAACCAGGCGAGAACGGGGTTTGAGGTTCCCCCTAAAATTTTTGAAAGGCACACTGCAAAGCGAAACTCAAAACTTTTAGCAATGCACAATGGTCGGAAATCTAAAAACTGGTCAAAGGTTTAAAATCGAAATTTAGATTTTTAAATTTTATACATCACTAGCTGTACCTTGCCACGCTTTGATGTGGCATATTCCTGTTACCAACGCGTAGGGGCCTGTAAATCTTCCGTAAGATCTTTCTCTCGAATACTCCAAGAGCCGCCTCATCGGATGTTGTCATTGTCCATGCTTCTGTGCCATATACCAGCACGAGCATGATGAGTGACTCATAGAGTGTGGTTTTTGTACGTCGAGAGAGAACTTTACTTCCGAATTGCCTACCCAGTCCAAAGTAGCACTTGTTCGCTACAGTAATTCGACATTGGATTTTGATGCCGATCTTATTATCGGTGTTATGCTGGTTCCTAACAAAACGAAATTGTCAACTTTCTCGAAATTACAACTGGCAACAGTGACGTGGGTGCCAAGGCGCGAGTGCTCTGACTCTTTGTTTGATGACAGGAGATACTTCGTCTTCTCCTCATTGATCACTAAACCCAATCGCTTTGCTTCGTTATCCAACTTGGAAAAGGCAGGAGATGTTAGGGAATGGTGACAACAATTTTAAGATTTCATTAAGGATTTTTTAAATAGTTTTTATGGGATATTTCATGGGATATTTTCATTGCGAAATGCGTAAACCAACTCTCTGTTAATAATATGATCACTTCGTTTGATAACATTTCGTATATTTTTTCTTAATTTAAACTGTTCGGCTTTTGGATAAGTGGAAATATAAAAAAAATCTATAGTAAAGCTTTCCCTAACACTTTTCGTTTGGAACCAATTATGTAACATTTCATTTAGTTCCAATATTTACAGTCTTCACTTTTAGGTAAGGCATAATCCTAAATCCAACGTAGAATCACTCTTGCCAACAAGTGCTACTTTGGACTGAGTAGGCAATTCAGGAGTAAAGTCCTCTCTCGACGTACGAAAACCACGCTCTATAAGTCACTCATCATGCCCGTGCTGGTATATGGCGCAGAAGCATGGACAATGACATCATCCGATGAGGCGGCTCTTGGGGTGTTTGAGAGAAAGATTTTGCGGAAGATTTACGGGCCTTTACGCGTTGGCGACGGCGAGTACCGCAGACGATGGAACGATGAGCTGTATGAGCTTTACAACGACATAGACATAGTGCAGCGAATTAAAATACAGCGGCTCCGCTGGCTTGGCCATGTCGTTCGAATGGACACCGACGCTCCAGCTCTGAAAGTATTCAACTCGGAACCCGCTGGTGGTAGCAGAGGAAGAGGGAGGCCCCCGCTGCGATGGAAAGATCAGGTGGAGAAGGACTTGGCTTCACTTGGCGTTTCCAATTGGCGTCAGTTGGCACAGAGGAGAAACGACTGGCGTGCTTTGCTGAACTCGGCCAAAATCGCTTAGGCGGTTACAGCGCCAAAAAAGAAGAAGAAGAAGATAATCCTATGGGAAATATTTCTAAATCAAGATTTCTCAAATGCCTTAATTTGGGACCCATATTGTAACACTTCATTTCTCTTACAAATTTAGTTAAGTTAAATTTTCAAACAGCTGGCAGCCCTCCTCAAACATATTTTCGAGTGTGGGTCTTTTAAAAATTCTTTAGTTTGATATGCACATTTCATTATTATCAATTTAATTGTACCCAAAAATATTTCCAATACATAGTTATCTTTCTTAAACCTCTTTAACTTAATACCTGTATTGTAATATATTATTTAGTTTATCAATTAAATTGCGCTAAATTTTTTAACAGGTAGCAACCCTCCTTTGGGGCACCGAAATTGCGCATATGGAAACTGTGCATTTAGACATTATTTCGGTTTCAACCGAAACTGTGCATGTATGCTTTATTTCGGTTTTTACCATATGCATTATTTCGGTTTTAAACCGAAACTGTGCATGTATGCATTACTTCGTTTTTTTTCATATGCATTATTTCGCTTTTAAAACGAAAGTATGCATATGCATAATTTCGGTATTTTCTCATATGCATTATTTCGGTTTTCAACCGAAACTGTGCATGTATGCATTACTTCGGGTTTTTCATATGCATTATTTCGGTTTTCAACCGAAACTGTGCATGCATGCATTATTTCGGTTTTTGTTATATGCATTATTTCGGTTTTCAACCGAAACTGTGCATGTATGCTTTATTTCGGTTTTAGCCATATGCATTATTTCGGTTTTGAACTGAAATTGTGCATGCATGCATTATTTCGGTTTTTGTTATATGCATTATTTCGGTTTTCTAACGAAAGTGTGCATATGGATAATTTCGTTTTTTCTTATATGAATTATTTCTACTTAGTAAGGGTTTTAATCCCTAAGCGCGGCTGAAAGCCGCCTACGCAGAGAAAAGTTCTGCGCAAAAATACGTCCGCCCTTCTTTTCCGGCAATACAGAAAGGAGAATTCTACTTAGTAAGGGTTATAATCCCTAAGCGCGGCCGAAGGCCGCCTACGCAGAAAGAAGTTCTGCGCAAAAGTGCTTCCGGCCCCCTTTTCCGGCAACACAGAAATGAGAATTCTACTTAGTAAGGGTTATAATTCTTAAGTGCGGCCGAAGGCCGCCTACGCAGAAAGAAGTTCTGTGCAAAAATACTTCCGGTCCCCTTTTGCGGCAACACAGAAAGGAGAATTCTACTTAGTAAGGGTTATAATCCCTAAGCGAGGCCGAAGGCCGCCTACGCAGAAAGAAGTTCTGCGCAAAAATACTTCCGGTCCCCTTTTGCGGCAACACAGAAAGGAGAAT